TCCTATTTCCGTGAAGACCAACTGATTAGATTTCCCCCAAAATAAATGGAGAATCCATGTTGGGAGCGACAATCATCAGGATTCGATATACAACCAGAATCAGTAAAATAAACAAGTCTAGAATCTCGAGATGGACGAAAGAAAAGTCCAGCGTCCAGAGTGCCTTTGAGATAGCATAATATTCGTTTAACTACAGCCCAATGTTGTTCAGATGGATTATGCATAAACTTGTAGACACGATTAACAGAGTAAGCAAGTTCGGTACGGTTGATTGTGACATATTGTAATGCTCCCACAATGCTTCTGTAAATATGCAAATCCGCAAAGGCGTCGCCTCCCTATGTCAGTCTTGAACCATGAACAAATGGTGAAGAAATGGGTTTGGCTCCCATCATCTTGATGCGACCAAGAAGGTCTAAAATGTACTTTATTTGAGAGAGAAGTAGTCCGGAATATTGCAATGAACTTCAATGCCTAAGAAAAAGTTGAGGGAACCCAAGTGTTTTAAAGAGAAAAATGAGTTTAGATAGTTGACAAAATCATCAATGAAGGAAGAATTCGAGCCGATGATGATGAGATTGTCCACATACATAAGAATATAAACCACATCATTACCATGGCGATTGATGAACATAGAAGTATCAGAAACACATTGCTTGAAACCATGATGAAGTAGGGACTAATTTAATTTCTGAAACCATACTCGTGGAGCTTGTTTCAGGCCATAAAGAGTTTCTTAAGTTTGCAAACATGAGATGGACGATCAGGTGCAACAAAGCCTTGCGGCTGCTCCATGTAAACTGTTTCCTCCAAAACACCATTGAGGAATGCGTTATTAATATCCACTTGTCGAAGAGACCAATTTTGAGTAATGTTAATGCTCAGTACCAAACGAATTGTAGTCGGTTTTATCACCAGACTAAAAGTGTCAAAGTAGTCAACACCCTCCTCTTGATTGAAGCCTTTTGCCACTAGTCGCACCTTATAGTGCCTCAATAGATCCATCCGGTTTTTTCTTGATCCGGAAGACCCACTTACAACCCACAATATGAGAAGCATAATGCCTAGGAACTAAGTCCCATGTTCCATTAGTCATTAAGGCGTCAAAATCTAACTACATAGCATGTTGCCAATTTGGGTTCTTTTTGGCCTTTAAAAATGTTTTGGGTTCAAGATCAGAGGAGTCACATGTAAGAGGATATTTATTGGTAATGTATGATTTTGGTTTAAGCGAGCGAGTAGAAGCACGAGTAATCATACCATGTTCAGAGTGGTTGGATGGGCGAAAATATGATGGAGCTTGTGGATATGTTGTGACAGGTGACAAATTTGGTGACAGAGATGGCTCCACCACTGTATGGTTTGTATACGAGATGCCGAAAGGAGGAGGTTGTGGTGAAGCGGTGGTGGATGTTGGCTGAACAGAAGAAGATGGGGTTGAGGTAACATGGAACCTCATTAAAGATGCATTTTGGAGTTTGTGAAGAGGTAAATCTGAAAGAGAAGTTGATGATGTGGTTGGCTGAGAGCTGTGTTTAGGGAACGGAAAAGAAGTTTCATCAAAAACGACATGGCGAGCAATGTAAGTGCGAGATCAAGGAACATGAAATCATATATAACCTTTGTGTTTTGCACTGTAACCCAAGAATATGCATGCAACAGATCGAAATTCCAATTTGTTACGATAATAGGGATGAAGATAAGGGTAACATAAGCAACCAAGTGATTTAAGAAAATTATAATCAGGTCGGCGGTTGTACAAACATGCATAAGGTGATTTGTTTTTGAGAATTGGCGTGATGGTTCTATTATTCAAGTATATAGAAGTATGAAAGGTTTGTTCCTAAAAACCTACATGAAGATTAGAATGAGCCAAAAGTGCAAGACCTTTTTCAACCACAATACGATTGCGCCTATCAGAAACTCCATTTTGTTCAGGAGTGTGAGGACACGAGACCCGATGAAAAATTCATTGTGTTTGTAGAAAAGATGAAACATCACGATATTCGCCACCCCAGGCAGATTGAAAAGCTTTTATTTTTGTGGAAAATTGTGTTTCAACCATGGTTTTAAACAATGAGAATGCTGAGAAAACTTGAGATTTATTTGCTAAGAAATAAGCGCAAATGAATTTAGTGCAATCATCAATGAAGAAAACTAAGTAGTGATTACCATTCATAGATAACACAGGAGCAGGGCCCCAAATATCAGAGTAAATCAAATCAAAAGGACATTTGGAAGGAACATGACAAGCTGGTAAAAGATGTTTATGACTTTTAACTAACTGACAAGCATTACAAAGAGGTAATAACTTATTTGTGGAAATTGGTAAACAAAATTTAGCTATTTGACAACGCAAAATAGGTTCATGTGGATGAGCAAAACGGTGATGCCAACATGAAATAGATGCACGTTCACCCACAAAGAACTTAGGACCAAATGATGATGAACCGGTAGGAAGCCGATACATGCCATTTTCAACAATTCCCTTGAGTATTATGTTGCTCTGCGAACTCTTAACATAATAATGATTAGGGTGGAGCTCAATGAAAACCTTGTTATCTTTGCATAGTCTAGACACACTTAGAAGTCTTTTGGAAATTTTTGGAACCACAAGAACATTTTTAAGAGCCAAGGAATTAGGAGCATGTTTAGAGGATAAAATGGAACAACCTATATGAGTAATAGGAAGAGACTGACCATTCCCAACAGTAAGATTGTCGGCACCCTTGTACTTTGATTGAAGATTAAGATTTTCAAATTCAGCGATCACATGATGTGTAGCACCCGAGTTAACCACCCACGGATCGGTCAGGGCCGATGGACTTGTGGTGTACGCTGTAAATGCTTGTTTGGCTGACGATTGAGATTGGTGGTATCAATCAGCTGATTTGCGATTTGTTGCTGGAAATGCGGTGAGATTGAGTCATTGATGGCAATTGCAAGCCTCGTGATAAGGCTTGGTGCAAATTTGACAAACTAACCGTAGACAATCACCGGTTGTTGTCTGATCAGGAGGAGAGGATATGCGAGTATGCGAGACCTTTTTGGCTGCAAAATTAGCTGATGGCAGTAGAGAATTAGTGCACGAGTCATGAATTCTATGTTCTTCTTGAAAAAGGAGGTCGAGTAGTTCGTTTGAGGTGATCGGTTCCACACGCATGCTAAGAGCAGTTTTGAAGGCACCATATTCAACACCTAAACCAAAAATAAAATAAGACACAAAGTCTTCATCAGAGAAGTCTGTTAAGCATTCAAGTAGTGAGTGAGAGATAGCTCGCTTCTTCTCGACATATTCGAGAATTGACAGATATCCCTTTGTGAGCATCTAAAGTTGTTGTTTAATATGCATCTGACACGCCCAAGTATGAGAGTGAAACATTTGCTCAAGCATGATCCAGACCTCAGATGTGGTGGTGGCTCGGGCAACATGACCAAGCATAGGGGCGGTGAGAGTTGAATGGACCCACAGTAGAACAAGTCGGTCCTTGCGTTTCCATGCTACAAACTCTGGATTCGGATTACAAACAGTAGAGCCTTCTTTGGGCAATAATGTTGACAAAGGGGCATTGCCGGAGACCAGGAAGGAATCAAGTTCATAAGCTTCAAGGGTTGAACGAACAGTTCCACGCTAAAGAGAGTAATTCGTGCGATCAAGACGGACAGTGAGTGACGGAAATTAAAGGTTTGCCGAGGCACCGCGGGAAGCTGAAAAGAGAATAGTGGAAGTCATAGTGGAGTTATTGTTTTCACGTGCCATAATGTAGAATCGGTGGGCTTTGATACGATATAAACACTTAAAGTTATGAGTGAAAAATGTTACTTTTCTTATTATGAATTTGTTATCTTTATACATGTAAATCTTTGCTAACTATCTGGATGAGATGAGTACAACAATATCTCATGTAATAAAGGAAGGGGATACGTACAAAGAAAAGGTCAAGAATATAATAACTCAATATATTAATAGAAGGGCACGACTCGATTGCATCGTATCCATGGGAGATTTAGGCACATGATAACTTTGGATGATACTCTGATAAATATTTTGAGTTAAATGGTTTTATCTGAGATTTTCTTAAGTTGTGAATTGAATAATCACTTAGATTTTTAAATGAAAATTTTGGGTTGGATTTCGGGGCGTTACATTACTAGTGAGTTAAAGGTGAAATTTTCGTGAAGCAAAGTCAAAGGTTGCCTATTATTGGACCTAGTAAGAGGAAAAACATCCCCTTTAGTTTAAATTGTTTAGTGATGGCAATTACTTGGTGTACTTTAATCATCATTCCTATCTGAATTACAAAACAATTCTCATTAACTTCTGCAATGCTGCAACTGGAGTTGTAATTTTTTATTGCTTTGATTTCCAAGAGTTGGTGAAAACCATTGTTTATTTTCCCATTTACTAGTGCATGAGTTAGTTATCAACATTGTTTTTACCACATCGAACCATTAAAGTAGATTTAAGTGTTTGTAAAGGTTGAGTTCCCATTGTTGTGAACATGGTTAAGTGGGTCTTAATCCTATTTCTCTTGTAGTTCCAAAGATCATATCCTTTGGAAGTCCTTTTATAAACGAATCCGCTAGATTCTTACAAGATCTAATATATACAACAATTGTTATCCTAAATTTATGTGACAATTTATGTACATTTGTGAATCATGACGAAATTTGGTTTAACTCTTTTCTTTTTTTCTTTTAGCATGACTATCCCCGATCATCTAAATCTAAGAGAGGATCCAGAATCCCAGAATCTTGAAATTTTCTTAAGAAATGGGTCATGGCGTACAGGTTCATTCAGTGCTCCAAAAAGTCCTTTGAGAAGTTCACCATCAAGTAGAAATGACATATTTACCCCTTACCATATGCCTCCTCCATCACATCATATATGATTCCAGATGCATACATTCTTGATAATTCACCTACAACCTACTCATAGTCCAACCCAAAGGACAGGTGTCAAAACTTCCGTTAGACCAAAATTTCCATTACATAAAACCATGCCCCGACGTGACAAAAATGCCCATGCCACTCTGGCAACCGGCCACCCGTTGCCGCTCCCTCCAGGAGCTACAACCACCACCACCACCACCACCACCACGACGCCTCAGCCTCCTTCATCACCTCAGATTAACAGTAGACATGATTCAATGCCAAGAATACAGAGCCCATGGCAAAATGGGAAGCTCATTGGTCGTGGAACATTTGGAAGAGTCTATGTTGGCTCTAACAGGTTTATAACTTTTCATAAATTCCATTAGTTTTTAATATTTTTCCCATTTGGTGCTAAAAGTTAGTTCTTTTTTATATATTTTTTGATAGGGAAACGGGAGCTTTGTATGCAATGAAAGAAGTTGAACTTTTACTAGATGACCCAAAATGTGTAGAATGTATAAAGCAATTAGAGAAGGATTTGTTGTGTATGAGCTTTGTGTAATATAAAAGCGCAAATTACAGAAACCATAGATTTTTTTTTTTTTTACATTTTTCCAAATTAACCATTTTACCTATATAACAATCCTTATTATCTCTTCCAACCAAGCTATAGAAGTTTCAAACATTTTTTCAGATTAACTATTTAAAAATAAAGTATAATGGTTAAACTACAAAACTTCCGAATTTTTTATTTTATTTATTTATTTATTTATTTTGTGATTTTTCTACTCACGAGATATTATTTACACTTTTGTTTTTCAATTTCAGGAAATTGATGTTCTTAACCAGCTTAAACATCCAAACATAGTTCAATATTACGATTGTGAAATAGTAAGTGGTATCTTATTTCTAATCACTTTAATTTTTTTTCTGATTTAAATTTAAATAAATCGATTTAAACTTATAAAAACAAACAGGTTGATGTCCGATTTTACATATATCTGGAATAGGTACACCCTGGTCCAGTAAATAAATATGGTCATGATCATTGTGGAGGAATGATAGAACCCATAGTACGCAATATTGTTTCTGGGCTTGCCTACTTACATAGCACAAGAACAAAACACAGGTTATAATAATTTACATTTTTTATTGTGTAATCCCATTAAAATTATGCACAAATTCTAGTATCATAAATTTAAATGATTGGTTTGTGTAGGGACATTAAAGGGGCAAATTTGTTAATTGACATAAATGGGGTTGTTAAGCTTGCAGATTTCGGTATGGCTAAACATGTAAGCTAGAAAATAGTTATGTTTTAGTCAACTTAATGTTACAATGTTCATATTTCTATTGGAAATTTAATCTTGTTAATACAGCTTATTGAACAAACTGGATATCTTTCTTTAAAAGGAAGTCCCTACTGGATGGCACCTGAGGTAATTTGAAATAAACACAAGAGTAAATTACATTATTGGTCCTTGAGTTCACAAAATGTATCCTGCAATTTTGGTCCTTATTTGAGATTTTTTGTTACATTTTTTGTCCGTGTTCCAAGTAAAATAACTATAATTTGTGGACCAATTTACAAAATCTGCTATATTTCAGGGACTAAAATAATCATTTTACTTGGAAAAAGGACAAAAAAAAGTTAGAAAAACCTAAAATGAAGACCAACATTGCAATAGAAAACTTTTTGGGATCAAAATTGTAAAAATCAGCTTTACCCAGGGATCAAATTTGCAATCTACTCCAAACACAATATTTTTCCTTCATTTTTCATCACCATTTTTTTTCTGCAGCTTTTACAGTTGGAGAAGGAGAAGGATGGTAATTCAGATCTTGCTTTGGCGGTGGATATCTGGTGTTTGAGCTGTACAATTATCGAAGTGATTGATGGAAAACCACCTTGGAGCGAGTATGAAGGGGTAAATTACTTTTTTGTCCCTGACTCCCTGTGATGCATGTGATGGTATTTTTGAATTTGGTCTAAAAAGTAATCTTTTTTGCTTTTTTTGATCTCTGTGATATGATTTTTTTGCCCTTGCAAGCATAAACTCTTCCAAATGTTAAATTTGTGGAAATGACCATTTTGCCCTTGCCAGCCTGCAGCAATGACAATGTTCAAGGTGATGAAGGAGAACCCGCTGATACCTGAGAATTTGTCTTTAGAAGGCAAAGATTTCTTAAATGGTTGTTTCACAAGGAATCCTGCAGAAAGGCCAAGTGCTAGAATGTTACTTGAACATGAGTTCTTAAAAAATTCAAAAGAGTCGCATGTTTCTTATATGTGGATGGTAATTTTCAAGCATATTTGTCATTAACTTTTTGCTAATCTTTCTACATATAATTTATGTAAAAATGTAAAATCACTAAAATGTGTTGTATTTGTGATACAGGATAAAGAGCATTTACACTGTGAACTTGATCGGTTGTGGTTGCTACGTATACGCCTACCACATAAGGGAAAGTGAATAACAATTATCATATGATCAGATGCTTTTTTTTGGTTTCTTGTAAAAAATGATGAGCCAGTGATTTTATTTTGTGACTTAATTTCAACCTGATAACATCCCATCATATACATTCTATATATGTATCTGGAGTTTGTATCATATCATGCAGTTGGAATTTGGAAAAGGGTCAACCAAAGGGTTTGACTGTTGACATTGGTGGCTTTTGATTGAAGCCTTTTCTCCAAGATCAATGATGCTTGAAGTTGGAGGGTGCAGTTAGTTTAGGGTTTCTTGAATTTGGGGAGGCTAAATTAAGGTTATGTGTTATAATATATGATGATGCTCAATTAGTGTTGTAGATTGATGTTGACTGGATTGAGAACTTAAAACTGTACATAAAAGAAATTTCATGCAACTTTTACGCCTCAAAGATAGAAAAAAAAGGAACATATAGGCCCTTCTTATTTACCAAATCATACTTTGTTCCTATTATTTTATTGTTGTTTCATATCTTTTAGCATTTTGATACCATCCATTAATTAGAGAGAAAATTCGAGAAATGACCAAAAAAAGGGGTGGTTTGAAGAAAATAACCAAGGAAAAACACATTTCAGAAAATGACCAAAGGATCCGCAGAGCACCCTTTGCGGATCTATTAAGTCCTCTGCGGATTTGCTACACCTCTGCGGAATAGAGTTTTTTTAATTTTTTTAATTTTTTTTTAATTTTTTTTTTAATTTTTTTGCATTAATTTTAGTTTATTAATATTAATTTTTTTTAAATATACTAACACGTTATGTGATTATTATGTAAAAAAATTGAGAAAAAAAAGATTTTTTTTTCGTTTTTTTTTTGCGTTAATTTTAGTTTATTAATATAATTTTTTTTAAATACATTAATATAATCTTTTTTGAATGAGGTCTAACTCGGGGGATCCATTAAGGTTAAAAATAATGAACTTATGTTTAATCCGCAGAGCACCCTCTGCGGATCCATTAAAGGCTCTGCGGATCCTCTACAGCTCTGCGGAATCTTTGTTTTTTGATTTTTTTTAATTTTTTTCGTTTTCTTTGCGTTCATTTTCGTTTATTAATATTATTTTTTTTAAATACACTAATACCTTATGTGATTATGTAAAAAATTAGACAAAAAAAAGTTAAAAATAGTGAACTTATGTTTAATATCAGTCTACAAAACTGTTTGGGAATCCACAGAACTGTTATCAACGGATTAGTGTACATACGTATGCTCTTCTTGGAATCACCTCTGCGGATTAGTGTACACCTCTGCATAAGGGAATACGCAGAACTGTTAGAGAATAAAAAAATGACTGACAAACAGCTCTGCGGATTACCAAACAATTTTGCGGAATAAATAATATAAAATCACTTTACCATGCGTATCCTTTCATCGATTTTGTACCATTTCTTCTTCATTTCATTTTTTTTGAAAAATTAACCCTCATATTTTCCGTCATAATGGCTTCCATACCATGGAGCGCTGAGGATAACCTCCGTCTAACTCGTGCATATATTAATATCCACGAGACCACCAGGGTGAATGATCCGAGTTATTGGACCCGTTTAACTTATGACTTCAACGCTGACCCTCAAACTGCCCCAGAAAACTACCGCAACACCATTGACATCACAACAAAATGGTATGAATTAAAAACGGAAGTCTTGGTTTTCAACAATCTTTATACCAAAATTGATGACGCACGTCCAAATGAAGATGAGGAAGTCATCCTGGACGCGGTGAAAGCGGAATACATATCCATTAGTGACGGGTTAGAATTCGAGTTTGAAGGCCCTTGGAATCTCTTAAAAGATCTCCCGTATTTTTAATTTGTATTGCGTTTGTAGAAGGATATTTTAATGTAGTTTGTTTTTATTAGGTTATTTATATGCACCGGTTTGTATTACGTTATTTATATGTATTTGGTTTGTATTAGGTTATTTACGAAACCAGTTGAGTTAACTTCTACTTTATTCTATAGAACATAAAATACAAAACAGTACAAATACATGGAAAACATATATCAGTAACAAACATATTACATAAAACATTTCACATAAAAAACCCTTATACATGAAATACTGGTGGTTTTTAACCAGATTCCAAGCGTCCACAAAAAAGTACAAATACATGGAAAACATACATCAGTAGCAAACATATTACATAAAACATTTTACATAAAAAAATCCCTTCTACATGAAATACTGGTGGTTCTTAACCAGATTCCAAGCGGCCACATACTCAAAGTCTTTTCCCTCATGCTCGAAAATGTAATGATCTAAACTCATTTCTACAAGAGCTTCCTAGTTTGAGTAATAATAATTACTACTATTTTTAAGATGATGATACTATCGATTGAACCATGTGATTTCGTTCTTTAACTCCATCCACTTACTAAGAATATCTACTTATACCCGATATTCTCCTTGTCCAAATGAGAGGTTGGACATACCTGTTATGCGGGTCCATTCATCACCTCCAAGGTAATCAGGGGTAACCATTGTTGTTACACCTTCAAAAATGTTCAACCAACATCGTATTATAACCATTACCTCTCTTGTCGTCCATGGACGTGGAGTATCGGACGACGATGTTGCATTCGTAGAAGTTGGTGCATTGGAGGCCATTTCTATATTTTTCAATACTGGGGTGAGTTGATACAGTATTTAACCGGTATGACAATTTATACACTGATCCGTAGAGGTGTACACTGATTTGGAGAGGTGTACACTGATCCACTAATAACAGTTCTGTGGATTCCCAAACAGTTCTGTGGATTGATGAAGTATACGGTTTTAGGTTTTCAGTTTCCGTTTAAGGTTAGTTTTATGTGCAATTACTTATATTTTTGAAGTGCTTATAAGTTTGGACAAAGCATAATTTTTTTCGTAATACTAGGTATGGATTTTGGAGACATTTCCTGAAGCTTTGAGGTTTGCACATCACATAGAAAATGAAATTCCAAGAACGAGGGCATGGAGAATAAAATCACAATTGTCTCTCGAGCAATGTTTACGTATATTAGACGTTTCAGTGGTATAGTTATACATTCCTTATATTAAATATATATAGTTAAAAATTACAATAATTTTATATACTTAAATTTAATTTATTAATTTTGCAGGAAAATAATATCCCACGTGATTTTGAACCAGCAGCAGCCAGACAACCAATGGACACAACAGACCGAACATCAATGGCAGCAGGAGCCACATAACCAATGGACGCAAGGGACCGAATATCAACCGCAGGAAGACCCACATAACCAATGGCAGTGTTGCACCGATTACCAATGGCAACAAGACCCAGATAACCAATGGACGCAAGCAACAGATAACCCATGGACGGAATACGAAAACATATCAAAGTTTATGTGGTTCGATTTCAATGAATGAAGTTTATTTCAAAGTATGTTTATTATGAAGGTTGTATGTTTATGTTTTCTAAGGTATGTTTTGTAACCTATAAAAAATATGAAATATTTGTATAATTTTAATTAGGTTATTTATATGCACCGATTTGTATTACATTATTATGTATTTGGTTTGTATTAGGTTATTTACGAAACAGTTGAGTTAACTTCTACTTTATTCCATAGAATATAAAATACAAAACAGTACAAATACATTGAAAACATACATCAGTAGCAAACGTATTACATAAAACAATTCATTATTTTTAACATTTTTTTGTCAAATTTTTTACATAATAATCACATAACGTATTAGTGTATTTAAAAAAATATATATTTTTAACTTTTTTTTGTCAAATTTTTTACATAATAATCACATAACGTATTAGTGTATTTAAAAAAAATTATATTAATAAACTAAAATTAACGCAAAAACCGAAAAAAAAAACTTTTTTTTCTCAGTTTTTTTACATAATAATCACATAACGTATTAATATATTTAAAAAAAATAATATTAATAAACTAAAATTAAAGCAAAAAAAATGAAAAAAAATTAAAAAAAATTAAAAAAACTCGATTCCGCAGAGGTGTAGCAAATCCGCAGAGGACTTAATAGATCCGCAGAGGGTGCTCTGCGGATCCTTTGGTCATTTTTTAAAATGTGTTTTTCCTTGGTTATTTTCTTCAAACCACCCCCTCTTTTTGGTCATTTCTCGAATTTTCTCTTAATTAGAGTTTAGTGAACTTTTCTTCATTTTATGACTACCATCTTTGTCTTTTTCTGATATCATGTCAATCTCAAGGTGATTCATGAAATCAATAAAACACCTTTTATTGCATTTGCAAGTAGACAACACCAAAAGGGTGGACCTTTAGTGGATAGATGGATATATGTGACTAAAATAGTATCCTGCAGTGGAAGCGAGAGGTTGATGAATGATGAAACCATCTCGAAAGAGTAGACCTTTAGCGAATGCATCTGCAAGTTGGTAAAGAGATGGGACATGTATGATATGAACTTCACCACGGGTAACTTTTTCATGAACAAAGTAAATATTCATTTCGATATGTTTGGTTCGTTAGTATTGAATCGAGTTCCTTGTGTGGTAGATGTCACTCACATTGCTATAATAGATACGTTAAATATCAATACTCAAATTTTATAAATCTTCTATAAATACATTAAATACCAATACTCGAATTTAATAAATCTTCTATAAATACATTAAATACCGATACTCGAATTTTATAAACACTTTTTATTATTTATTAGAACTCTAATTTATAAATAATGGTAAAATGTCAAAACAACGCTATTTTTGGAATGACCAAACCATAGAAAACGGATATCTTTGATATTGTTTTCTTTACTTATTTTTTGATTAGTAATAAAAGAAAAAATATATATAATTTTTTTTTTGAAGAGTTGGATGTATCCTCATTTAGCTAGAACTCATATATAATCTTGGTTCTCTATCTTCTTGCTAGAGTTTTAGTTTTTATATAATCATGTTCATGTCATTAAAAGAATCAATTCTTACTGCTATTTAGTAATGTTTTTTAACTAATACTATTTTTTCACATTTAC